GTTGATGCGCTAAATTTCTCACCAAACGTGTCCTGCGATGGTGGAGGTGTGCATCGTCGTAAAGCGATGCTTGTTTTCTTGTCGCCTATAGCTACGGAAGATTACTGGCGGACTTTATAGCTCACAGAAGACTACGCCATTTTCACGGATAGCGCTCGTCCAGACCCCTCCCACGCGTGACATACGAGCGCACCGCGCGCGACGCGCGATAAAAGACACGTGGTCGCAGACCTGCTCGCTCTCTCGTCCGTTGAGCTCCGTTTGGCCGTGGTTTTGTGCCAGTGACTACTTTTGCCCGGGTCTCCCGTTTCTTCCGAGTCTGGTTACGACTTCTTGTTCTTCTACACGACACTCCTTCTCAGTCTCTTTCATAGAGCTGGTGCGAGTACGTGTACTCACTGCGCTGTTTTTGTACACAAGTAAGTGTTGTTATTACGAAAATATTGCGTATAATCCTGTATTATTTCTCTGAGGTGCATGCCTTACATCGACACCCCGTTCGGTGTATTTGTACTGGCCCCTGCTGCGAAGTTCAATTTCTGGAGTTGGGGCCGCCACAGCTACTCATTTTGTTTTCAATGTAAGCTCTGCAAGTTGCCAATGGATATTGTCAGTAATTTGCGCCTTTTCTTTTTATTCCAAAGCTGTTTATTTGGAGGTGCTAGTACACGACACTCCTTCGTGCCTGGGTGTACCCACCGACCCTGACGCACTTTGCTGCGAGTTCGTGCCGCACCCTGGTCCTGTATCTCCCGAATCGCGAACCTCTTCATTCTACGTCTTTGCCGTCGTTGGCGATACCTGTTCCAACTCCGTCTACTCTCGCCCTGCTGCAACTGAGTCCTCGTTGATAAGAAAACGCCTGACAGTTCTTTCCTCCGAAATCGTCTACTCTCGCCCTCTAGCTGCAAGTGAATCCTCGTACAGCTGCCGTTGTTTCCTCCAAATCGTCTACTCTCCCCCTGTACCTGCGCCTGCCGTTCTTTCCTCCGAAATATTGTGCTATTCACTGCCCTCTGGCATCTTCAGATAAGTGACATTTTGCTGCTGGGAAAATGCCTTACCGCTACCCAAGAAAAAAGAGGGCAGGTTTCAAAAGATATTATGTGCTAAATTCTGAGAGTATAAAAGCTAGAGGTAGATCCCTTTATTTGTCAGACCCTGATAAGATAAAGGCTGTGGCTAGGACCTCCTACCATGCAGACCCTGATAAGAAAAGGCAGCTGTTAGGGCCTCATATTGTGCAGACCCTGATAAGAAAAAGGCTGCTTCTAGGGCCCTGTATAAGTTGCACCCATTGAAGAAAAATATTGCTGATAGGGCTGCATATAGAGATAATGCTGATAAAAGAAAGGCCGCTGCAAAATCAGTTTACGATGTAAATCCTGAACAAAAGCGTGCAGCTACCAAGGCAGCTTATAAAGCC